GGTTATGTGTTCTCATTTTGGTGCTAAGAGATAGAGATGGTTACAGTTCAAAAAGGATACTGCATTTGCACAAGATGGACTTAAATCATTTCAAGATTCTCAGATTTAGGATCTCTTAGTCTGAATTCTTAATTTTTTTCTTGAAAAAAGTAACTGATGTTTATATGTATGTCTTGGTTTGTCTCTACTTCAGCTGAGGTTTTAGTTCTTTCTCTCTTGGTGTGCAGAATCAAGATCGTAGAGTAAGAAATTTCAAATGTCAATTCATGATTCAGAGAACAACAGCAAGGATGAAAATAAGAAGTGACATCATCAATGAAAGAAAAGGGCAAATTGCTAAAGGATCTCTGTTTTTTGGACAATTCAACAGAACTGGGCATTGTCAAGTAAGTTCCTATAGGATAAAGTTCGCAAGAGTACATTATCAATTCCTTTCTTTCTATTTTATGCCATAGAAAAAAACACAACGAGCCATTTGGTAAATGAAGAAGGAGAAATGTCAAGGAATACACCCATCAAAAATGGTGAGATTTGCTATTCTTTCAATGAAACATACTAGATATGCATTTACATGCACTATGCTTAAACGGTTTAATTTTTTTCTGAAAACAAATCTTTACCTATAGATTCCTCCTGGATGGCTTTCAAAATTCCAGCTACCATCAAGGGTAAGAAACTTTTCTTTTTTTTGTTTTTCAAGTCTACAATTAACCCTTCTTTATTTATGAACACTGTACTAAAACTGAAGTACACAGAGTTATGATTTATTTTCTTGATAAGTACATAATTATATAGTTTAGTGATTATGTTTTTTCTTTGTATGCATAGTTTGTTTACCTGTATGGAAACTTTGTAGTTGCAAAAGATTACTGTTCTTCAACAAAAAATTAATTTGTTCATCTGTTCATTTTTTGTACAATTGTCTGCCTCAGTAGAGTTGGGTATCCAGGAGGGATATCTCACTGCAAACCAATGGAGCAAATTAGTGCAGAATGTTTCTAACAGCATCAATTACTTTACCAGCAAACCCAAGCGCTCTGAACAGCAGTGGATTGCAAAAAAATTATTGCAGAGTATCCTTGTTTGGCCGGCAAAAAAACAATTTTGTGGCACTGCATGTCTTGCCATAAACTAAAAAGGTTCAGAATAATCACTCTGATTATTTGAGTTCATGAACTTTGTTCTTGTGTGTTTGCCATCACACATGCTACACAAAAATACTAAAGGACAGCTAAAGTTACTGAGCCCATTTGTTTATGAAGTCCAGATACAAAGGTTCGAGTACTTTGGGTTTGTATTTCATTTTGCCTTCTTTTTTCTAGTTTTTTTTATTTAGCAGTCTTGTTTTAACTTCCTGTGGTCAAACCATTAGATAAATATTGCACATGGAATAGTTGATTCTTTTTTTCAATGGTTGAACAGTGCAAGCACTATTTGAGCAAGCATTGCTTGAAATTGGGTGCAGGCAGACTCTTGCCACTGCTTCCTCCTTTTTCAATGACTTGGCAAATGCCTGAGGTGGTAATTGCTGAAAGTTTATGTTTTGATAATATCTAAATTAGCAATATGAGTGCATGTATTCTCACATCCAGTGGAAGAATACTCAATGCTGCTCTAAGACTCAGTTTTTTAGATGCACAAATCAAACAAAATCTATATTATTTTGCAGGAGCAGGACCCTTTGTTGCCTTTGTGTTATTTTGATAATTTTCTGTACTTTAAAAAATTAAATCAGTCTTGATTATAAGCTGCCTCAAATTATCACATTTGCTAAGTCATTGAAAAGGGAACCTTTTCTCACAAGTATCTCTTGGGTGTAATTTCAAACAATGCTGGCATTGTTGAGAAGTGTATACTGATTTAGCAAAGATATCAATGTTAGAAAATGATTGAATGAATGTTAAATATGTATGTATGTTGTTCTATCCTTTCACATGATGTTTTAAAGTTTGTCTATTTTATACCACAATTGAGTTTCTTAATAACTGTAAAATCGTGCACTGTAAAAGATTTTTACATAAGCAATATCTAGAACCTAATAACTGAGCGGGACAGTGTCTGACATAAAAAGGAGCGGTCAGAGAGCCAGCAAATAACCGTCGAAAGGTCGACGTAGCCGTTCAGAAGAAAATATAGAAGTGAAGTTAAAATTATTATAACAAAGTCATGCCAGTTGAGACTGATGAGCGTGACTAAGTATATATGTAGGACGCGCTCTAGACACTTCAGCAGTGGAAGCGTGCGTAAAGCGATTATCTATCCATTACAAATTGTCCTTATCTACTAAGTGCTAATACATACCTGTACAGTTCTTATGATTCACAAATTGACTGCTTTCCTTTCCCGTGTAAAGATCATCTTCAACAGAGCAGACAGCCGATAGACCCAGCCAACTGAGTCGTTTGATAATAACTCAGTTATACTTTTAGACTTTCGTTCCTTATGCTTTGTTGATTAAACCTTGCGCCAGAGATACTATTCGTCTGCGCTAATATTAACATTTAGGCACAGTAGTTTCTAAGTATAAAAATCATCTAGTGGTTTACGTATAGCTAAAAAGAAGCTCGCTTTAGTAGCTGCATGACTTTCCCGTTACGCATCTACAGGCGCATCAAATTGATTGGGATCAAATTTGACTTATTAAGTATCGAACCCGAACCAAAATCCTTTCCAATAGACCCCCTAGAATCAAGGAATCCATTGAAATAAACTATTTTCTAAGCATGCTAACAATGCTGCACATCTCATGGCTATCAGAAAAGTTCACAAAAGGACATGCGTATTGCCTGATTCAGCCGTATGGCTTGGGAAGGCGTCTATGGCCTATAGTGATATTTCTTCCACCCTCGTAACATCTAAACGTTCAAGACCATAATAGTTATGATTTTATTTGAAAATCTCACAAGTATTTTTAGAAGTAGATGCATGAGAGAAATCAGCACCGTGTATCTAAGCAAAGTAGGTTTGCAAGCAGATAAGCAAAGTAGACGGGTGACATCAAGTCACGACTAGTGAAGTCAGCAGTCACCCAAGATGCAGATTGTACATGGAAATTTTGAACCCTTTTCAACGATAAATGTTGTGTATACTCATCCGTTACGAGCAAATTGAAATCTATCATCCGGCACAAAGTAACGATGAGTCATCTTCAATCCAACTGCGAAAGCCAATGGATTACCATGAAAGAAATGTGGCTTTTGTAAATATAACCACAATGCAATTCTCGAAATGCAACAGCAAACGTATTCTGTGGACGATTATATCAGGATGCGAATGCTAGAAGACTGACTGACTCATCTTAATTAACCTTTTCACGTGTAATGTTACGTGTGAGTGAAGTCAGAATAACACATTTGTAGCGGAGTAGGATCTGAAAACGCAATAATCAGGAGACTATGCTGTTTTCCAATTTATTAGCTATTAGGAATTGTGTTTTAAAAAAACTGATTAATTGAACGATACAATGCCAGGTTAAACTGTTCTCGCTAGTTACAGTCAAGATTTATCAAAATTATACCAGCACAACCTTTTACAGCGATGAACAAAGGTTTGAAATTGTTTACTGAGGTACTGCATTAAAAAGGTATAGTTTTTTATAACCCGACCCAATTAAACAACAACTTCCCAAAAGATTAGGTTTCAAAACGTTTTTGGATGAAAATTTCAGTTTTTGAGATTAAATCATCACTCCTTTGCTCTTTTCGTTCTCATCTTTCTTCTTGGGTATAACTTTTAGCTC